GGGTCTTACAATATAACTTACACAAAAAAAAAAAAAGAATTTAGAATGATGTTGTGTGTCCCTCTGAGTAGAGTGTTTTCACAGCTATCAGACCACATACCCACCTCTAACACGTAAAACCCCCCTCCAGCACAGCCATCATACCACTACCCACCACTGTAAACCCCCTTCCCTGAAGCTCCTACTCTAAAATCCCCCCACTATGAGCCCCACCAAAGAAATTATTTTACTGCCCCTCCAGCACAACCATCATACCACTACCCACCACTGTAAACCCCCTTCCCTGAAGCTCCTACCCTAAAATCCCCCCACTATGAGCCCCACCAAAAAATTATTTTACTGTTATATACCTCACACTCTTAAGAATCTCCAGTTTATTACCGTTTACAACACAATTTCAAGTTAGATCAAGTTCATACAAAGGTATTCAAGTGAGTTCAGTTGTTAGTTTAGTGATAACAAAAACAAATGTTGCCTCCAGCATTAGTGCTACAAGTTTCGGAGCTCCAAATTAGTTTTCTCAATCACCTAAATGAACTTTTGGAGTCTCCAAGTTTATCAGTTTATGAATCGGATTTTATTATTTTAATCGAGGAAGTGATTGAATTGTGTCAACATTTGCTGCAAAATAAAATTAGTAAGAAACATTTTTGCGATCATTTGGAAATAACACATATGGGTTTGGAGTCAAATTTATTCGCAAGACGTATAGAAAATATGATATTTGAAGAATAGATAAGAATTTATATTTAAGCAAATCAAGATTTTTAATAATGTTCCACTGCAGTGATTGTAGTAAAAATTTCACTCAAAAATGTAGTCTTAGCCGACATAAGAGAGAATCCTGTCACTATCGTCCATCTTGCTCCACTAATAATTTCAGTCAAACTTCAACTTCAAATAAGAGGGAGGTTGTCTCTCAGATAAAAGATCAAGCCCCAAAAAGACCCAAAATACAAAAATGTGATGATCAAAAACATATACCAACAAAACTACCAAAACTAATTTTCAAACGTTGTGAGGAATGTGATAATTGGTATAAGAAAAATAAGCTTTGGGCACATTTACGATCAAACATCCATAAAACTGCATTACTTGATAAAAATGACGATCTTGTAAAAACTATAAAATCAGCCTTCAAAAGCAGGATTTTAACGTTAATGTTAATTCCATCAAAAAAGCTTATAGATATAGACAAATTTTTTGAAGAAGTTGAAGAGAAATTTATGAGGTTGATTACAGAACAAATAAAAAAACACAGGGCAGTTAAAATTAATGTTGAATTATTTGGTCAATTTATTTTACAATCAAAAGAAACCATTGAAACAAAATCATTTAATACCAAAAACAAAATTATCACAGCAACAACACATATGATTGATATTTATAAAACATTTTTATCTGAAATTAAGGAAAAATTGTCGACTTTTGCAGAATATGGATCTGGTTGGGCTTTGGAAAAAATACTTTATTTAGAGATCAACGTTAATAAGTACAATCCCATTAGAGCTTCTTCGTATATCCTATTACCAAAACAAATAGCTAATAAAAGAGCTGTAATTAACATAAAAAATAAAGATCAACAATGTTTTGGGTGGAGTGTAATAAGTGCCATGTTTCCATTAGACCAACATAGTGATAGAATAAGTTCATACCCTAATTTTTTGGATTATCTTAATTTCGAAGGTATTGAATTTCCAGTGAAGTTGAAGGATATTAAAAAATTTGAACTTTTAAATCAAATATCCATAAACGTTTATGGTTTAGAGAGTGTTTATAAAGATTCCGAATTATGTTATGAGGTAGTTGGTCCTCTTCAATATACCGATAAGAAACTTCCAACTCATGTAAACTTATTGTTAATTAGTGAAGGTAAAAACAATCATTATTGTTGGATTAAAGATATGTCAAGGTTAGTTGCATCTCAAATAAATAAAACAAGTTTTAGAAAATATTTTTGTGATGGATGTTTAATTTATTTTAATTCTGAAAAAAAATTAGATATGCATCAAGTATATGATTGTAACCATGTGTTTACAAAAATTCCAACAACTGATATAAAAGTTAATAAATATGGGCAACAGATCCCTGAAAATATTCTCTAGTTCGAAGATTTTCAGAAGCAACTTAAAATTCCATTTGTAATATATGCCGATTTTGAGTGTTTTTTAAAACCTCTGCAATATGAAGAACCAACCAATGATAAGAGTTCTTTTACATTAAACACTTTTAAGCATGAACCATATTCTTTCGCTTATTTCATTAAATGTTCATATGATGATTCTCTATCAGAAATAGATTATTATTTTGGTCTTGATGCAGCTGATGAATTTTGCAAACGAATTGAAGCTCATGCTCATAGAATTTATAATAATTATCTGAAACATGTAGTACCGATGGTTCCTTTAACAAATGAACAAGAATTTCAATTTGAAAATAGTATCATTTGCAGTATTTGTAAGGAAAAATTCAATCCTTTAGATGAAAAAGTAAGGGATCATGATCATTTAACTGGAAAATATCGAGAAGTAGCACATAATATTTGTAATTTGAACTACCAGCTTCCCAGTTTTATTCCTGTGTTTTTCCACAACCTCACAGGATATGATAGCCATCTATTCATCAAGCAACTATGTTATGAAAGTTAAGCATGTTTTTATTAGGCTCAGATTTTTAGATTCTTTCCGTTTTGTCGCTAGTTCATTAGAGAGTCTTGGTAATAGCTTAGATATCAATCAATGTGTAGAAATTAGAAGATATTTTCAAGATTCCAATCAGTTCAATGAAATTAGAAAAAAAGGAATTTATCCTTATTCTTATGTAGACTCCCTAGACAAATTAAATGAAACCCAACTTCCAAGTATTGAAAACTTTTATGATAAACTTAAAGATACTCCTCTAGATCCTTCAGATTATGAACGAGCTATTCATATTTGGAATTTGTTCCATTGTCAAAACCTAAGGGATTACACTAAGATATATTTATTATCAGATGTTCTCATATTAACGGACTTTTTTGAGGCTTTTCGAAATGTATCCCTTAATATATATGAACTAGATCCTGCACATCCATTTCTTCCAAATTTTGATTCTACGGAACCCAATTCGTTTATTATGTATTTGGATGCAACTAATCTTTATGGTCATAGTATGTGTCAATGTTTACCTACAAGTGATTTTTCTTGGATGACTAATGAAGAAATAGATTCTCTTGATGTTTTCTCCATACCATTTGCATACCAATTTGCAGTTTGAATCAAAAAGAAAAATACACAATTCATTATAGAAATCTCAAACAACCAATTGAAAATGGACTCAATGGAATTAAATTTCACAGAGGTATCAAATTTAAACAATCTGCATTTCTTAAACCTTATATAGATTTAAATACAGAAATGAGGAACAAATCTAAAAGTAAAATGCAAAAGGACTGTCATAAATTATATAACAACGCTATTTATGGCAAATCTTTAGAAAATATTGATAAACGAGTAGACATACGATTATTAACCCATTGGAAAAATATTAATAATAAACAGGGAGCTGAATCACTTATAGCTAAACCTAATTTCAAAAGTTCATTAGTGTTCAACGAAAACCTAGTAGCAATTCAGTTAGAAAGGGTAAAAGTAACATACAATAAACCTGTTTATGTTGGTTTCACAGTATTAGAACTTTCAAAAACTGTAATATATCATTTTTATTATCAGTATATTAAACTAAAATATGGAGACAATGCAATTTTATTGTACACTGATACGGATAGTTTAATTTTACATATTAAAACAGATAATTTTTATAAAGACATTCAAGAAAATCTTGAACGATTCGACACTTCTAATTATGATGAAAATAATGTTTATAACATTACAAGAAATAAATCCGTGCTAGGTCGTATAAAAGATGAATTTGCTGGACAACCAATAGTCAGCTTTCTAGGCACAGGTGCTAAAGCATATTGTGTTAACTTGAAAAATAGATCTGAGAAAAAAGCAATAAGTATAAAAAAATATGTAGTTCAAAATTCAATTAGCCAAGAAGATTATAAAGACGTAGTTGAAAAGTCTGATATTAAATTTAGAAAAATGAATATCTTCCATTCAAGTTTGCATAAAATGTACACACAATCAAAAAATAAAGTTGCTTTGTCTCCTAAAGATGATAAGCGTTATATTATTCAAGGAATTTTTAGGACTTTGGCTTGGGGTCATAGAGACATTAATATATTGAGCGATGATAATATTTGTGATGATGAAGACGTTAACGACGTAATTAAAGTGCTTCAAGGATTAGCTTGTGATTGCTATAAATTGTGATAATTAATAAAGCATATAATCATTTGAAAGTAATCATGCTACCAGCAGGACTCTTGTTTCTTTCTGCATTTTTAAATAGTACTTTGTTTATACAAGTCAATTACAATGTAAGAGAGACGTTTATATGTTTATCAGCTAACAATGTAAAAAATGATACATGCTGATGCATGGAAAAGAATGGATTATTTGAATAATGGACTTTATTATTATAAACTTGGAAAAAATTTTGATAATTCTTCTAATGTTGATTACAAGTTACGGATTTATTTTGTAGATAGAAACTATGTAGAAACAAAAGAATGGAACAAATTATATATAAAGCCATGTGAAAATAATTTAGATGTGAGTCTAATAATTTTCTCTATTATATCATTTCTATCATTTATTACTATATTATGTTTTCTTTTATATCATGTATATTTGTATTACAAATAAAAGTTTTTGAATTTTCATTTGTGTGTGTGTGTGATTTTTCCTTAACCAACTCATCCAAAATTTATGTAAAAGGTGAAAAAAGGGAAGGTATACTAATACCCACCTCTCAAAATTTTCATCATGTCTACTTTGTCTTGATATATAAATGAAAAAATTAAAAGTGTTGTTATCATTCAGTTTCAAACTTTTGTCTGAGTATGAATAATAAAATGTTCCAAGCAACCAACTACTATCAACAACCAAAAAAAAATGGAAGAATTTGGTAAGCACCGAAATGGAACCCTAATTGGAGAAAAAAAGTACTACATCAACAAATCACAATCCAAGTGGGTCAGCGTTGGATTTTCTTTGGAGAGAAAATATATTCCCGTTGTTAAGCTAGGAGGATACAAAAATAAGCAAAATGTGATTTTTGATGAGGAACAATGGATATCCTTTTTGAATAACCAAAAAAATTTGTTAAGTTTTGTTTACTCTAAAAGTACGGGATGGCAGTCTTTGTCAGGAAATGGCTACGAAATTCAGTTTGTGTTTATTGGCGAATCAAGAATAATCAAAATTACTCAAGATGGTGGAAACGAAATTTTTTTGGCTGGTGAAACTATAAATGAACTCATTAATTTGGTTAACTTGATAAAGTATAGTTTTGATCTACTTAAGAGTCAAGAATTTTTAAATTATTACAACAGAGTAATAAGCATGGTATCCAATAAAAATGGTGATTTGAACAAAAATGTATACGAGAATATTTCACCTTCAACTAACCCAAATAGTGAAAACGATTCCTGTGTTCTGGAATTGCTAATTTTCTATTCTGATTGTATTATAGAAGATGTGGAAACATATGTATGTAACGAATTTGTTAATAAATCGGAAAATAAAAAGTATTAGTACCAACAAACCTACTCTTTATTACCTCCCTCCACTAAACAAGTAATATTTAAGCTTCAGGAGCTGTTTTGATATTATATAACTAGTCAAGATATGGTTAGCTTATGTGCAAGAAACTCCAACCTACAGCTTGACAACAGCAGTTGAAAATTTGGCACAACTTTTTAGAAATTTGAAGTTTGACGCGGAGCATGAAGCTAATTGTGGATTTGAAAGGTTCAAAACGATCGAAGAATGTATGGAACTTGCAAGAAAATATAGCAAAGCGGAGGAGGCTTGTAATACCTACTTATATACTTTGGATCTGACAACATTCCTTACTACCATAAAACACATGGATTTTGCTCATTTTTTAGATAAAGTGAAAAAGTTTGCTCCGAAAGAAATTATTCAGGAAGTGTTCAATAATAAGTTGAATATGTAACACATCATTATCAAATAAAATAAACAAAAGTTCAAAAAATAAGTGTTTTATTCAATCGTTATAAAATTATTATATAAATAGAATACATTACTAAGTGCACATATACATTGTGATTTCAGATGGTAAAAACATTCAGGCTGTCCTTTTTGAAGAGCCGGCTTATCTTCAAATTCCAGAACAGGCTTCAATGAGTATTTTCTAATGTATTCGGACTTCTCTTTCCCTTTTACGTAAACATTGTCTACTTTTCCTGTTAGATTTTTGACAATGTCTGCAAACTTATAAATTGGAGTGTATCCCTCATTCCAACAAATACAATGATGATTATGAATTAACCAATTTGCTTGTTTACATAAATCAGGTGGTAAATGTTGAATATCAAATGGTGGTCTAAAAATATAGTGGCAAATTTTGGTACCATCATAGGCAACTAGTTCCTTGGGTATAAATTTGTTATTTTCTATTGTAAATCCTTGCACATCCAGCACTAGTTGATTCATATTTTCATATTGGAAAATGCTTTAATCATAAACTTTTTTTCTGAGTATTCTTGTATTTGTTTTTTTAATTGCTGTAACTTCTTCATGTAACGAGATAGTTTTACATCCAATTCGGTCTTCATAATACTGATAATTTGAGATAAATATCTGATTTATATAAACATAAAAGCATGCGCATTATAGCTGCTTTACTATTTTGGTTAGAGGATTATAGCTGAATATTTTATCATGAAAGATCAGACAGTATGCAGAAGTATCCTTTTTGACATTGGTGCTTGTTTCAAATTCAACTCTCATGACAACAGATCCTGTTTGAATTGACTCTTTCTGATGAGAACAGTCGATGTGTGTTATGGGAGAAATATTTTTGAAATCAGTGGGATTAAACACTGGCTCAGTTACAATTCCATAATAGGAATGTCTGAAGTTTGCAAACGTTTCGTATAAGGCAGAAAAATTATTGTCTTTGAAATTTAAGTGCAAATCATGATAAGGATAACGTTCAGAATTTAAAAATACTCTTATATTAGTTAGATCAATATCATCAAACTAACTCATATCTTTTTTAACTTGCCCTTTCCGATCTATTTGAAAGGCTACTACAACATGACGAGGAGATTCGAGTTTATTTGTTGTTTTCACTGGCTAGGTATGTCTAGTTGTTTCTGATATAGACGAATATTCAACAATTTCCCAACTTCTAAATCCTAAAAAGATTTCTTTGTTAGATTCTAGTATTTTTGATAATGCCAGTTGTTGAGGTCTGTCTACTGTTATGTGTGGAATTTTCCAATATAATTTATCGAAGGAGATCATTGGAGATTCATCAGTAATTACTTTGGTCTCCAAATCATCTTTAAACAAAACTGCATCTAAATCATTACTTGCTCTAATAAGAACTAATTCTTGTTTCATATTGATTATAATTTTTTTATAATCTTCGAAAAATCCTAAAAACATTTCTAGTGGTATGGAAACACAAAACTTTCCATTATCATCCACCAAAATTCGTTCGGCCTCTTGTCTCTTTGGAAACCAACCTGCATTCTGTAGTTTTAGACTTTCATTAGTATTGTGTGAAAGATAACCTTTTAGAGTAGAAGCTAATCCGACATTTCTCACAGAGTCTATAGTGACTCCGTTTAACTCATAACGAATTTCTCTAAAGAGAAAAGCAATACCGTTATTAACAAATCTTAACCTTTTTTTATAGGTTCCTTCATTATTGACTAATTTTCCTTCAATGTAAAGTAAGCTTTCTGATGGTAAAGTAAATGTATCAAGCTCTTGAATGGGTATTCGTATTTCATCATTGTAATGAAACTTTGAAGAGATAAATGGTTGGTAGGTGTGAAGTTCGGAACTAACAATTGAATTGTCTACGTAAAGTTTTTCGTTAACATTTACAATGTCCATTATATTAAAACTTTAAATCCTAAAGACGTGAGAAATTGATGATTTTCCCGTGTCAACCGGTTCACGTTTTCCTTGTTAATGAATTTGTTTTCAGATTTTTTTCTTTTATAAGATATTTTTTCAAATAAAGGTAAACAGTGGATAATGGAACTTCTATTATATCTAATAACCATTTCAAATACTATCTGTTTTTAAATGTAACCTAACAGTTATAGTTTCACCTCTAAAACTGATAAGATCTCCGTCCTGATCGACGACTTTTACGGTTATGTTGTTTATCGCTTTAACGCTGACTGGAAAATATAATATGGGTAAAGGTGATTCTACTATTTTATACCCTGGAGCTACAGCTGGATAAAATTGATGAATTATATGAACAGGTTTGCCATTGTTGAATGATCCCACACAAATATTACAATCAATGCAAATTGCATTCACCTTAGTTATATTTGCAACATAGTCTGCATTATCTAATGTATTGGGTTCAACTAATCTTTTTTTGGAAACCCAATAATTTCCCTATTGAATCATCCTTTGTGAAATCGATGCGTTTACTACACATTATATTACATTTAAGGGTATTAACATTTGGTAGCAAAAAAAAACTACATTTTCGTTTCCAAAAATGCCTGTAATCTCGCGTTTTAAGTATGTTTCTATATCAGTAATATCATAAGTTCCATCCGGTATAGTTATTATTTTATCATCTATGTAAAATTTATTATGACCTGATTCAATATTAGGAATGGTCATGAAAGTTTCAAAATCTGCTAGCCCCAAGTAGTATTGTTTGTCATCATCTAAATATATTGGTGGATTAAAATCTGCAGAAAATACAGAATCGTTTCCTGATATCGCAATAGTTGTAGACATTGGAACTTGTACGATATTGTTTTTTCCTAATAGAACATCAAGCTTATATATTATTTTGCAGAAAAGAGAGTGCTAGTTGTCCACAGTTGACTGAATCATATTTTTGTTTATTTTCATAGGTGTAAAATACATTTGTTTTACCATTCGAATTAAAATATCTCACCAGTTCAAGAGGTGGTTTAAGGTTGCCGTAACTATCAAAAAATATGGCTACATCTTTATTTTTGATGTAAGCTGTCCAATGAGTACCACCATGGTGTTTGCTATCTAAATTAACTATACCACATTCTACCTTTCGAATTTTGTTTGGAAGATCATCACGCATAAAGACACCTCTAAAATATATATTTCAATAAATCAATATTGCTAAGTGCTCGTAGTGGTAATTTTATTTGAACTTTTTTTTTTGGATTTTTTTTTTTTTTTTTCAATGGATCCACCTTTAAATGGTTTAATGTATAATCCCTTCCCTTTAATCCGTTTATTTTTTTTTAAACCCAATCCTTTTCCTTGTGTTAGGTTTTCTATAGCTTTATTATGACGTTGAAGTTCCTCCAACTGTTGTCTGGATGCTTTAGCATCGTTTACTGCTTTGGCAATCGATGCGGCACCGCCTCCCAAGGCGCCGATGGCACCCAAAATAGGAACTAAAAATGGTAAAAAACCCCCAATTTTTTTGGGTATTTTTATAACACGTTTTTTTTTTTTACTTTTTTCATACCCATTCCAAGCTTGCGTTTTCCTTTCATTATACCAGCAACCATCAATGCAGCGCTTTTTTCACCGAGTGAAGAATCTGCAGTTTTTACTCTTGTCCAAGCTTTTTGCTCTAGAATTTGATCAGCCTCGTGTTTTTTTGCTAAATCGTTAGATTGAAAATATGCTATATCATGTTCCTGACATGCAACATCCAACGAATTTATACCACTATCACCCCTAGCTAATCTGCTTTCTAACTCAGTTCCTGGGCCACAATAGTTATACCCGCCTGGTATATGAAGCTCAAATGGAAGCTTATTAATTAATTTGTTAACTAAACCTGAACCTTTTTTAAGTTTTTGGTTTTTAGTAATATTGTGTATGATCATTAAAGAGATTAATCCGATACTGATTCAAAATTCAACGTGACTTTGTTATAAATACTTCCGTACTTAGGAGAAGGACGTCAGTAATATTAAAACATGAGGATTGAAAAGCAAAAATTCTCTTTACCTGTAACTAATCATGATGAAATAGTTATTTACCTAACAAATGCGGAAAGTGATACTTTACCGCACGCAACGGCAGTTGACCGAACGACGCGGAGCGGAGTTCGGTCAAGCCGTTAAGGGCGGTAAAGGCACTTTCCGCATGTGTTAGGTACAACATTTTACCTATGAGCATCTACATCTTTAAAAAAAGGCATTGATAAAATTAATTATTGAATCAAATTAATTAATGAAATTAGATTAGATATAGAAATGATCAAAAATCCATTTTCTGAAAAAGAAAGGATTTCTGATTAAAAATATCAAATTTTACTTTACCGCACACTATGCGGCAAAGTGCACTTTACCGCACACTTTGTAGTCCACTTTACCGCATACTATGCTGTAAAGTTAACTTTACAGCACACTATGCGGTAAAGTTACTTTACCGCATAGTGTGCGGTAAAGTGATACTTTCCATTTGCAAATACATGCGGTAAATTGCACTTTACCGCACGCTCGTAGGTAAAAGTATTAACAAAACAATTTAGAAAACATGGTGATTTATTTTGTGGAGGATCTAAAAGAGGGCTTATTGTCGGTTGTAGTGGTTCTGGTAAAACTAATGTGATGCTCACTTTACTCGAACATCCTAATGGTATTAGATTTGAAAATGTTTACGTTTATTCAAAATCATTAAATCAACCAAAATATGAATACTTGAAAAGAAACTTTTGGAACCTATAAAAGAAATCGGTTATCACGAATATGATAATGATGAAAGTATCATTTCTCCACAAGATATAAAACCAAATTCAGTTATAATTTTCGATGACATTCCCTGTCAAAACCAAAGTGTTATAAGAGATTATTTTACGCAATGTAGACAGCAGAATACTGATTGTTTTTTTATATTTCAAGGCTACTCTTCAATTCTTAAACGTTTAATCCGTGAAAATACAAATCTTTTAATTTTATTCAAACAAGATTATATGAGTATAAAACATATATATAATGATCATTGCATAATGGATATGACATTTGAGCAGTTCAAGAATATGTGCAGTTTTTGTTGGGAGGATCCATATGGATTTCTTTTAATTGATAAAGATTGTGCAAGAAATGCAGGTAGATATAGAAATAAATTTGACACTTTCATATATCTATAAAAGTGCAATTTTCCACTATTTGTTCTTATTAAGAACTTGTCTAAGATGGGTGAACGTTTAGCTAAGGAGTTAATTAAATCTAGAAAATCAGTGAGAGAAAAATATCATAATTTGAAACTAGCAAGCCCGACAGCACAATCACAATTGGAACAAACCTATAAACCAATAACAGAACCACTAAAACAACTAATTTCTACTACAGGTGAACCGATAGTACTGAAAGAAGAACCCTTTAGTTTAAAAGAAGAATTTTTAACACCAAAAAAAAAAAAATACGAAACTTCAACACCAAGCAAACAGAGAATAGTTCGAAAAACAGGAAAAACTCTCATTTTACCATCAGAGATACCATCATTTTTTGATACTAGTGTTGCTTCTGTTAGTCAATTTCCTTCTATACAGGAAACAACTGTTTTAGCTGAAACTAGTCCTTTTCCAAAAGGTAGTACTAGTGAAAGTTTAAATTTGTCCGATATATTGGAACAAACTAAGCAATCAATTAAAAATTATATAGACTCCCCATCTTACCAAGTGTATTTGTCAGATTTTCATAAATTACCTAGATCCTATATTAATGGAAGCGTAAGGGATACAGAACATAAATTCGATCATAATTATGGAGTAGTTCATGATATTGATGGTGAAAATTTTTTTCTGGGTCTAACACAAAAACCCGTAAAAATAGTTGGTAAAAATATTGTAGTAGAGGGTAGAACTTATGAGGGTACTGTGGGTTTATACGAATTACTTTTTAAAAAGGAACCTGTTGGCTTCAAACCCAAAGATTTGGATAATAATATGGACATTTTGAAAATAACAAATGCATACCGTAGAAATAATGACCCCAATGAACAAGTTCAAGGAACCGGATCTACGAAATATATTACAATTATAAGTCCATATCTTCAAAAGAAAGGAATTGCAAAATCTAAAACAATAAATCCCGTTAGACCAACTACTGCATTCGAAAAACCTATTGCCCCATATCGAATAAGTACTCGTTACTAAAGGTAAAGGATTCACTTTAAAAAGGAATAAAACAAACACAGACTATGTGTACTGGAATGATGTAAACGAACTTGTTGATAGACTGCGTTTTTTGGTAGCATCTGTTAATGCAGGCAATACTGCTCATCATAATGAAATTTTATCTATTATTGAGGAATTAAAAGAGGCTAATATTATATTATAAATATCAAAAACTACATAAACATTACAGTTGTTTATCATCAATCAATCATGACAGTTGATAAATTCGGTCGTCATATTTCGAAACGTAATTCAATGAATAAAACGTCACTAGAAAATATCGATTTTTCTACCGTTGAAAATACAATTTTAAACAACTTGAAAAAAGACCTAACTTATTTTGGAAAAAAAATAAATGAAGAATTTGAGAATAGATTAAAACAGGATGTGATTAATGTTAATAAAAGGTTGAATGAAAATGATGTAAAAATCGAAATTACTGCAAAAAAAATTAAGCTTTTTGAAAAGGATTTTAAAAAAAACATTATTGATTGTAGTGCATCAACAACAAAAAAATTATGAAAAGCTAACAAAATTTGAAGGTGATATTGAAACAATAACAAAATATCATAATGATGTTATTGATTTGAAAAATTATTTTGAAACCGAAATAACAAAATTAAAAACATACATGAATGAAACATCAAAAATCGATAGTGTTCAAAAAAGCAAAGAAGATAATCTCAAATTAAAATTTGAAAATTTTTCAACCAAATTTTATGATAGAGTTACGAAAGAAGTAAAGTACTTCAAAAATAATCATGATAGTATTGATAAAAATATAAAGCGCTTGGACAGAACTTCAAATTTAAATGCACTACTACGAAAAAAAAATACTGACGATATCGCATTTATAAAGGAGCAATTAAACACAATTTTGACACAAATTCCAAAGCTAACATCGATACAAAGTTCAAGTGAAGAAGAAGTACGTAATCTTAAAATTAAAATGACATTGAAATGAATACTAAAGAAATTACTGACTTCAAAAATCAATTAAATAATATTTCATTGGACATTTCGAAATTGTCATCTGTACAAAATTCAAAGATGGAAGAACAACTGAAACTAACAACCGAAATTACTGAAATAAAATCGATTATCAAAGTGATTACCGACCTAGAAAATCAATTCAAGATTATTTCAATGAAAGTTTTAGATTTGGGAAACAAAATTGATGAAATAAAAAATCTAAAGGTTGATGAAGACGTAGAGTTCAAAATTGATCAAAAAGTTGAACAAATTAGAAAAGATGGAACCAAGGATATTGAATTATTAAAAGAAAAATTAGATAAAATTTTATCACAAGTTTCAGAATTGTCTTTCACACAAATTTCAGGCAAAAAAGAAATAGAACAGCTTAAAATTGATATTGATGACATTAAAATCAACACTAAAGGAATTACTGATTTCAAAAATCAATTTAATAATATTTCAACAGAAATTTCCAAGTTTTCCTTAATGCAAAATTCAAACAAAGAAGAAATACTAAAACTTGAAACTCTATTGACAAAGATACAACTGGTTACTAAAGTTGTTACCGACCTAGAAAATCAATTCAAGAATATTTCGAAGGAAATTTTAAATTTAGGTAAAAGAATTGATGAAATAAAAAATCTAAAAATTGATGTAGATTCCAAAATTGATCAGAAAGTTGAAAAAATTAAAAAAGATATTCAGTTATTAAGAGAATATGTTGAAAATGAGGACAAAAAATTGAATGTGGGTATTAATAAAATAAATGAAACTATGGGAACCAAAATTAAAGAAATAATAATTGAAAATCTCAAAGCAGAAATTGCACAAGTGAAAGATAAAATTGAAAATATAAGTACAGCTCAACTAGACAAAGTAAATAATGTTCTCAATGGACAAAACCTGGAGGAAGTATCGTTGACAAAAAGACGGTTGATATTTTCTATTCAATCTACAATTCCAACTATAATTAAGAAATTAAATGAAGAATTGAAGAAAATAGAAGAAGGATTAGGTGATGTCGAGAATAGAACAATTAAATATCTAAGAATCAGCGTTAAAGATTGTCTTGATAATATAAATGGAGAAATTGACAAAATATTTGAATATTTAAAGGAAACAGATGAAAAAATCATGATTAATAAATTGGAAAAATGGGTGGAATCTTACAAAAGCTATAAAAAAATTTAATAAATGAGGCTACAAAAACAAATCATGATCAGTACTAACTAAATTGTCTACCATGATAAAAAGAAATGTAAAATGACTACCATTAAGGATCAAGTAGTTAATGAATTACACAAAACTGCTCGAAGAAAATATTAACGAAGAAGGGTGATTATTAAAGGGTTAAATGATCTCTTCGAGGCTGATCTGGTTGAAATGCAACCTTATGCTAAGTTCAATAAAGGATTTAAATATATTCTGATAGTTATTAATGCGTTTTCAAAGTATGTATGGGTGGAGCCGATAAAATCAAAGTCCAGCAAGGATGTGACAGCAGCAATGAAAAAAGTTCTCATCAATGCAAAAACTACCCCACGAAATTTACATACAGATAGGGGAAGAGAATTTTATGGTCATCATTTTCAAAAACTCATGCAGCAATATCAAATTAATCACTACAGCACATTTTCAAATTTAAAAGCTAGTGTTGTAGAAAGAGTAAATAGAACATTGAAAAATAAAATGTGGAAACAATTCAGCTTACAAGGAAATTACAAATGGTTAAATATTTTACCAAAAATAGTGACTGAATACAATAACACATAGCATTCTACAACGGGACTTGAACCGTCTAAAATATCTAAGAAAAACGAAAAGGAAATATTCTCAAAGACTTACAAACACATAAAAAGTATCGATCTTCGAACTCCAAAACTCAAAATCGGTGACTTTGTGAGAATAAGTAAATATATAGAACTATTTTCCAAAGGTTACACACCAAACTGGTCCAACGAAATATTTAGAATCAAAGAAATTAAAATGACCAATCCTACAACATATATTTTGGAAGATCAAAAACAAGATGAAATTCAAGGTGGATTTTATACAGAAGAACTACAAAAGGTTCAAAATCCTGACGTTTATTTGGTTGAAAAAATTTTAAAACGGAAAGGAAACAAAGTGTATGTTAAATGGCTTGGAATGGATAACTCATTTAATTCTTGGATATTAAAATCAAATGTATTATAGAAGGCTAAATCAATAAAACACTTTTTTTAATTTTTATTTCATTATTGGAAAATGTTTTTCAATCCAAATTTGTGTTTTTGAAAAATCCTTTAGTATGAACTCGTTGCTGTACCAATCTTGATTAAGTCAAGGCTCGAGGCTACAGACAAAATCCCGTTAGGTACCTCGAATTAATTTTTTTTATTTCAAGTTGATCTTTGGTTCGCGGCGTCCGTCGGTGAAGGTTTCGATATAATCATAGTTAGTGGTGAATTTTTTTTTTATAGCAGCGTGCTTGAGGATATGAATATTAAAACACAAGTGTAAGGTAAATTAAATAGTGCATTTATTTTTAAAATTAAACTTTAATCAATCAATCAATTAAAAAATTGATAATTACCTACATACATTCTATAAGTCTAAATAATTAATAATAATAATAATAATAATAATAATAATAATAATAATAATAATAATAATAATAATAATAATAATAACAAGTATACGAATAAGCTTAAATTAGTTCCATTAAATGTTTTTGTTCGGTTTCTTTTTGAAAATTTTCCTCAATTAAATGTTTTCTGCTATTGATTATATTTAGAAGTTGCTTACAGTATAAAACTTTTTTCGAATACATTTCCATTTTTTGCCAAATTTGCTTTTCAGTTTGATTTAGTTCATCTAGCTGAAAAGATTTTTCAGCTATGATGACAGCTTCGTCGTTCATTTCTTCATTTTGTACCATTTCATCATCATCTTCATTATTAGGACTTTCTGGATTTGAAAGGTCAATAATCTCGATTTGAGATTTTTCTTCTGGACACAAAAATTTCTCCAGATCCTAGTTGATCTCGATTTGAGATTTTTCTTCTGGACACAAAAATTTCTCCAGATCCTGGTTGAAATTAGGATCTGGAGTCAATATTGATTCGATGGCTTTTTCGATTTCATCTTCGTTTTTCTGATCGGTTCTTCTTATTAAATGTTGTTTTATTATGATTTTGTTAGCACACATTTGGGCCAACTCAAATGCAGCTGGTTTGGAACACATACTCTATTGAAAAATTAATAACTGAAAAAATTTAAAAAAAAATATCCTAGACTTAGGATTAATATTTATTTATACACTTATTATTATTATTATTTTTATTTATTTAGACTTATTATTATTTAAACTTATTACTTGGACTATTGTTTGAATGCAACTATGCAACTGAATACTGGAAGATTTCTAGTCCGCTTTTATTGGAAAATTGTAACTTAAAAATGGGTATTTTTGTTTTTTTATTCAATTTAAACAGGGTGTATACACTAATGCCCGATTGCACCATCTCTCTTAACTGAGGCTTAACGATAACTATCCCTTAAATTGACAGTTTTGCATGGGAAAATGTCACTTTAAGGAATAGTTATCTCTAAGCCTCGGTTAAGAGAGACGGTGCAATCGGGCATAAATGATAAAATTCCCCCAAAGAATTTTAAAAACGTAAATATGGTGGGAACTAATTTTTGTAATTCAGTTACAAAATGTCATTTTTTCGACATTGATTTTAGTTGTCAAAAATGGTTCATTCTGACACAAACGTCAAAAATAAACAGTGTGTTCTAATATAGTGTTAAAATGAGGAGTGGTTCAACACATTGTGTGTAAAAAACACGCTCATTTTACAACTTGTTACATAAATAACTATTTTGCTTTGCAAATCTCGAAAGCCATTTTATTAGAACAAATATATTTCCATGTATTAAGTAAAAGTGTATGACACCAATAAAAAATAAAAGTTTAATTGGATAAAATTGGTTTGTAAGTCATTGAAAAAATTTCACATGTTTAAAACCTCAAATAATAAATCCATAAAAATTTAGTAATATTTTGATTTCTGTAGCCCATGCATTGAAAGTTTTTCACCCTGTATTCTTAAGGTAATTCCATTAAAGTGCATGCAATTTAAATCTGGTCTTGAGATATAAATTATTCTATGCGTACTCCCTACATAATTATACTGTCTGTAAAAATGCGATTTGTCAAGTTCATTCTCTGATCGTTGCACCTAAATGGCTGTGAACATTTTTATGAAAACAAGATCCATTTAAATTTCTGCACTCCGTATATGTCTTCAATTTTATCTTGAAATTAAACAACTTCATTGTCTGTAAAAAATGCATTTTGTCGGGTTCATTCGTTGCACTTTAAATGACCATCATTTGAAGGTTGTCTGGTTTTAAAGTTTGGAAAGAAAATGCAATAATTTTTTAAACGATTTGGCTTTATTTGAAATATTCATACATAATTGGATAAAATCATTTTATTACAATAATAACATTTTTCTTGTGAATCTGGTGGACCATCAAAGCGAGTTCTCCATTCTGATTTGTTGTGATGAATATGGAATGGTAACTTAATTTGAAGAATGAAGTTATTTTTGTCTCTTATTGGTAATTTACCCCACGATTCCAAAAGTTCAAAGGGCTTTGCATGTTTCAATAAATAATCTAACGGAATTCTCAATAGTTCTTCGCTTGTAAAATCTGAGAGTAATTTTTCACCATTCATATGAGCTAGAACATTGTCTTTAGAAGAACAACAATTCATTTTTGAGTTTTTCAGTATTGGTGATTGTTAATAACTTTACTATTTTTGCAATATAACTTTGATAGCAATTAAGCGTTAAGCGATTAACAATAACGGTCTGCTTTTAATTTTGAATCCTTTCAAGAGCTTCTACATCCCATGGAGTTTGCAACACTATTGAGGAATAAAAATTCAGGAATTGTTTAAATATTCTTTAATTTTCAAGAAAGTGTAGAGGTGGG